TCGGACAGCTGTGAGGGTCATGAGACCTCGTGACTTGAGAGAGGCTATTGAGCTGACACAACTAGTAGAGGATCAAAAGCACCATGAGAGGGGAGTCATAGACAGCAGTTCATGTGGCTCTTGCAGGATGACTACCACCCTTCTAGCAACTAAGGGGCCTGCATCAATCAACATTCATGAGACTCCCAATAAGAAGCTAGTAAGAGGAAGTGGGGGGTGGGGACTTTAAAAGACTAACTAAGAGAGAGCTGCAGGAGAAGAGGGCGAATGGACTATGCTTCAGATATGATCAGAAGTATACTCTAGGGCACAGGTGTAGGGACCAAACTCTTCAGGTTCTCATCGTCTATGATGACGAGGAAACTGAGGGAGGTGAGATTGAGGTAGAGAGAAAGGTGAAGGACAAGCTCCATCTGAATGTGATAGAGGTTTTCCTTAACTCGGTGGTAGGATTCATTCCGAGCCATACCATGAAGGTGAATGATGCAAGTTTTTCCAACAAAACCCATAGGCTTTCTATTCCAAAAATCACTCACCTATCATCTCTTTAAAACATACAAAACACTTTTTATTTATAGGAGAAAATAGGGCAGTCAAACAGCCCATAATAACCCTAATTAAAACCAATTAAAAGAGATAAAATGGAAGGTCAAGAGGCTGTCCAAAAACAGCACCTAAACAACCAACATTCACTTCAAAACAGCGGCTAAAAAGACTCACAAAAATAGAGAAAAGCAGCCACGGGAAAAGAGCGGGCAACACAAAACAATTTCCAAAAATCAGCAAAGGAAACGGGTAGGAGAATTCACGGGAAAGCAGCCAGGGAGGGGACCCAAAGAGCCAACACAGAAGCCTGGAAGGAGAAGCCACAGGAACACAGCCAGGGAGCAAACCAAATAGGCACAAAGGGGAATTCACGGTTCAGGAATCCAAAAAGCCATCTCCAATTAACTACAACACACTAAATACCAAGCACCAAACAAAATAGGCCAAGCCCATTTAATTAATTTCAGCCCAGCTTTTAATTGCCCAAATATGGATATGGCTTGCCTGCATCAGTGAAGAGGGGAATAACATACATGGAGGTGATAGTGCTGATTGACAGTGAGGCTACCCATAATTTCATCTCCAACCAAGTCGTGGATCAATTGGGGGTGACATTAGTGAATACAGGATCTTATGGAGTGATGATGGGTATAGGGAAGGTGTAGACGGGGCAGGAGATATGTAGAGTGGTGTTGACCATACATAGGATTCAGGTGAAGGAGGATTTTCTCCCATTGAAATTAGGGAGCACTAATATCCTCCTGGGGATGAAGTGGCTATAGACCTTTGGGGGGCACAAAGGTTAAATGGGGGACATTGACGATGGAGTTGGTAGTGGAAGGGAGAAGGGGTAGTGATCAGGGGAGATACAAGGCTCTCCAAAGCCATGGTATCACTTAAAACCATGGTGCGAAGCATACAGGTGGTGGGGGAAGGTTATATGGTAGAGCTACATAGGCTGGAGGGGATTAGATTGGAGAATGGTGGAGATATTCCTCTCTCAGTGCAACCATTGATCAACAGTTCAGTGAGGTTTTTCAACTACCTCAAGGATTGCCACCACCGAGGGAGCGGAGCATGAGCACACTATCACCTTGAGAGAAGGCGTGTCATCCATCAGTGTCAAGCCCTACCGCTATCCTCAATTTCAGAATGATGAAATTGAGAAGCTTATCAGAGAGATATTGAAAGCAGGGATTATCAGGCCCAATGGGAGTCTTTTTCCAGCACAGTGTTACTAATTAAGAAAAAGGATTGAAGTTGGAGATTCTCCGTGGACAATGGGGCGTTGACAAGTAAAATGTGTCAGACAAGTTTTCCATTCCAGTGATAGATGAGCTATTGGATGAGCAGAGTGGGCAGTTATTTTCACCAAAAATAGATTTGAAGTTAGGGTACCATCACATCAGAATGAAAAGGGAGGATGTGCCAAAAACTACTTTCAAAACTTATGAATGACATTATGAATTCATAGTGATGCTTTTGGCCTCACTAATGCTCCAACCACTTTTCAGTCTCTAATGAACAAGGTCTTCCGGCCCTATCTCAGGTTATTTGTGTTGGGTTTTTTTGATAATATCCTGGTTTACATAAGGCAAGCGGAGGAGCATTGGGAGCACCTGAGGAAGGTTTTAAAGGTGCTACAGGAGTACCAACTGAGGGACAAACTGATGAAATGTTGTTTTGCACAGGCTAGTGTGGAGTACTTGGAACATGTAGTCTCTACAGAGAGTGTAGCAGCGGATTAGGCCAAAATAGAAGCTATGTTGAGATGATGGCCATTGCCCAAGAATCTCAGGGAGCTGAGAGGATTCCTAGGGATGAAGGGTTACTACAGGAGGTTCGTGAAGGGGTATAACACCATTGCATGGCCACCAACAGAACAGCTGAATAATGATGGATTCTTTGGGGGGAGGCAGCCACAACAACTTTTGAGATCCTAAAGAAGGCCATGACCACTATGTCGGTCTTGGCCTTGCCAGATTTCACTCAGGTCTTCATAGTGGAGACAGATTTCTTGGGGTATGAATTGGGAGTAGTACTAATGCAGAGCCATCGACCCATCACCTACTTCAGCTAGGTGTTGACAGCTAGGGTCAGAATGAAATCAGTCTATGAGAGGAAATTGATGACCATTGTGCTAGCCATCCATAAGTGGCGACCCTACTTGTTAGGCCGACACTTCATTGTCATGACGGATAAGTGGGTACTTGTTGGAGTAGAGGATGGTGACAGAGGAGCACTAGAGATGGATGTCAAAGTTATTAAGATATGATTTTGAAATCCATTATAGGCCAGGGATAGAGAACAAGGTCGCAGATGCCTTGTCCAGGTGTATGGGAAAATTGCATATGACAGCAATTTCAGTACCACTGATGCTAGATTGGGAAGCCATTAAGGAGGAGAGTGCACAATATGAGGAGTTGGGAAGGATTAGGGCTGATTTACTGAAGGAGAAGAGTAGCCACCGTTATTCTTTAGAAGATGAGAGGCTCTTATACTAGGGGAGATTTTTGATACCTAAGACATCAGTTCACATTTCACATCTGCTTCAGCAATTTCATGGGAGTGTTGTTGGGGGTCATTCAGAAGTGCAGAAGACTTACAAGAGACTTGCCTTATAATTGTATTGGAAGGGGATATGCAATGATGTGGAGTAGTAGATAGCCATATGTGAGATATGTCAGAGGAATAAGTACAGGGCCATGTCTTAAGAAGGATTACTATAGCCCTTAGCTCTACCAAGTTCGGTGTGGGATGAGGTATCCATGGATTTCATAGATGGATTACCCCGATCATAAGGGTTCACAGTGATTTTAATGGTAGTGGCCAGGCTGAGCAAGTAATGCTAATTTCATCCCGCTACGATACCCCTACACGGCATTAACAGTGGCATCAGCTTTCATTAAGGAGGTGGTCAAACTGTATGGGATACCCTGGTCTATAATATCCGATAGGGATAAGGTGTTTCTCAGTCACTTTAGGAGGGAGCTATTCAGGCTACACGGGACAGTACTGAAGAGGAGCATTGCCTACCACCTGCAGATAGAAGGGCAGATGAAGGTAGTCAATAAGAGCTTGGAGACATACCTACGATGCTTTGTGTCGGAGACACCCTGGCTGTGGGCAAAGTGGTTAGCATGGGCGGAGTACTAGTACAACACTTCATATCATTCTACTTCTCATATGACCCCATTCAAAGTGTTGTACTAACGGGATCGACCTCACCTTGTGCATTTTGGGCATAGTAGCACCCAATTTTTTTCGTAGAGTATTTGGAGAAAAGAGATATGGTGTTGAAAGAATTGAAGAGGCATTTGTTGAGGGCGCAGCTGATTATGAGGAAACTGGCGGATGGGCACAGGAAGGATATTCAATTTGAAGCAGGGGATAGGGTGTTCCTGAAGCTTCTCCTGAAGCTTCAACCTTACAGATAGAGGACTATCACAAACAGGAGGAAATAGAAACTAGCACCAAGATATTTTAGCCGTTATGAGATATTAGAGAAAATTAGAGCAGAGGCGTATCATTTGAGGTTGCCCCCCACCGCCACCATACATCCAATATTTCATGTATCATAGTTGAGGAGAGCTGTAGGGGACCACACAACGAGTTTAGAGCTTCCAGCAACATTGACTCAATATTTGGAGGTGGTATTGGAACCCCATGAGTTATAAGGGATGTGTTAAGGAGGAGGGGTAAAGGAGGTGTTAATCAAGTGAAGGGACCTTCCAGATTATGATGTGACATATGAGCCATATGAGAGGGTGCAACATCAATTCTCGTCTTTCTACCTTGAGGACAAGGTGGTTCTTTGGTATTGGGGTACTGATATGCTTAGACTGGTCCAGAACGGACTGGTCCAGCCAAACTAGCACTTGGGTCGGCTCAAAACATACAGCAAGCAGAAGCCTGCTAATTCGCAAGCTCAAATTGTCGCCCCTTTGGGGATGGGGTCCATGGCTTAGGGAAGAAAGAGAGTTTAGGCCTTTTTATTATTTTTATGTTTGCTTTAATTAGGAGTTGGCATTAGGGTTAGGGCATCTTCTAGGTGGCTAATGTTCCAAGTGCTTTGGTGTTCTTGAGCTATCATGGCATGTAAAGAGTTTTGGAGAGATTGATCCTCCTTTTGAATAGAAGATCGTTTGTATCTTGCTGTTTTTCTTTCTTTATCAAGCAATAAAAAGTGATTTCTCATGTTTTCATCCAAAAAACCCTAATTTCTGTGAGATCTAATCGCTAAAATTCTGATTTCAGCGATTAAATTCCTATTTTTCCCATTGATTCCTATCACCAACCTGCAAATAACATAATGTAAAAAAAATGCTAGATCACATTTTTACTCGGATTAAATTTTTTAAGATATTAAAGTACGCCTTTATTAATAAAAATATACTTTTTAACTCTTCTAACAAAAATTTTAATACCAACTAACCTGCATTAGTAGGTAGCCGTGTACGGAAATTGGTGTGAAACATAGGTCTAGTTGTATATGGACCTTCTTTTAGGCTATTTGTGTGGAATCTATGCCTCATTGAAAATGGACCTTCATATGAGAAGGAAATTAGATTAAGCACTTATCATATTAGTGAATTCTTTTTCTTCTTCCTAGAGGTAAGCGCAATGCGAGACACTATAGTTATTTTCTGCTTCATCACAAAAAATGTAAAGCAAAATGGTGCTTTTACTAAGCAAAGCGTCCATGAGTTGTATATCTTATATATACATACAATGCTTATTTAATTAACCAAATTTAAATCAAATCAAAAAAAATATTTTTTAGCAAATGTAATGATACATCAAATAATAGTATTTTTTAGCTATTCAAAATCCTACTCAAAGGAGGGTGACATGAAAGAAGAATGAAGTATTATTAATGTGTGGCCTATTTTATCAATATATTAGACGATAGTGCAACTCGCATGCAATATATGTAAAGTTTCATTGTCAACCTACAAACAACATAATGTAAAAAATTTGCTAGATCACATTTTTACTAGGATTAATTTTTTTAAGACATTAAAGAACGCCTTTATTAATTTTAAAAAAAATATTTCAACTCCTTTAACAAAAAAATTTAATTCCATCTACATCGCAATTGAACATATAAACATCCAATCACTTTATAACTTCCTTTCCTCCAGCCCGTTCTTCCTCCCAAACACTCCCTTCCTCCCGTCTCTTATACCCTCAACATCACAGCCCATCTCTCTCCCACAACTCTTGGCTTCTCCCCTCATTGTTTGTACCTAAAAAATTCATATGAACTGGCAAATAGTACTGTGCAATTGCACAGAAAAATTTATAGTAGAGAATTGACATAAAAAAAACACACAACAGCGTATAGAACCGCCAATTTATTAAATAGCATAATTGCGATTGAATAACAGCCAGGTACAATTGGTTTTACTATTTTTCAACAAACTTTTTTTCTGAACACAACGTCTTCTAGGTATAATAAGCAACATTAATTACAATTATTAGCTTTCAAAACCTTTATAAATAAATTTATTATACGTGTAAATATATCTACTCTAGGCCCACCCTCTACTAAGTGATACACATTCCAATCTCTATGCACCACAAAAAGTGTTCATAAGTGAAGAAGTGATTGAGAAGCCTTAAGTTTTATATAAAGAGGTGGATAATTTACTCTAAATGAGCTACGCCAAAAACTTTCGAAGAGTATATAAATAATTGAATTAAGTGTCCAAGTAAACTTGCTTACCCGCACGTCCTTACAAATTTGATATTTATTTAAGATATATACATATCCATCTTTCATCTGCCACATGAAAACTCATTCGTCTATCAATAGTTTGTTACACAACACAATTTATTTTTCAGCCAAACTTAAATTCACGTCTTGTAGAATAGATCCTCACCTGATCTTTTAGCCACAAATTATTCTTTTTTCATTTGAGGGATCAAACCACAGCCAAATAGGCAATGGTCGAATTATTCTATCAAAAACACTTAATATTTTAAAACAAATATATTAGTAAGAAAAAAAAAAGAAGAAAACTTACAGCTTGCTTTTCTAGGCTGTATCTATTTGTCACTTCCTGAAACCGTGCCAATGCCTGCAAAGAAATTCGTGAGAAATAAAAGTGCAGATAAACTCAATTCAAACCAACGTAAAATTCATACTTTTCTGTATTCTGTTTCAAACTGGCGCAGGTAATTTCTTTTTGCCAAAATTTGTGCTTCAATCTCCATGAGCTCCTTAGAAGTATCTTCATAAGAATTTGCACACATTGCCTCAATTGCATAACTGGCAGGCTTAAAAAAATTGTCACCTGAAAATGAAAATCAAAATGATAGGCCAACGAAATTAGACAGACTAGCTGTTTATTTAATGGAAAAGAATCTGACAAGCAAAAAAAAAAACATCATTAGTGCTGACCCCAAATAGTTGGGATAAGGCTAATGAGGATGATTATTAGTGCTGACCATAAACAGCAAAAATATGAGTGCCAGGTTTTAGTTCGGAAACTTCGCAGGGCTGGAGACCTTCCAACCTTTTGAAGAAGGCAGCATCGGGGTCTTTTGCCATAGCTAACTGCATATCAGAATGCTAAAGTCAAAAATAACCTCTACTCCATAAACAAAATCCACAATTCAATAAATGATACAGAATCACATACCGCATTCACTGCTGAGTCCATACGGTACACCTGGAAATGTAGGAAGTACATCCCTGCGGAAGTAACCTTGCCAGTCTTTTCACTGTCTTCCTGTAATCATCACAAATACCAAGTCATTAATATCTTCCACAACCAATCACCAATAAAGAAAGCAGGAGGCCACTTTAAATGCAGCTAATGACTAGAGTTTTAAAATTAAATGATTGTTCTATTCATCGCATTGCCAGCAAGACACAGGAATGTTGCATCAAATTTCACTAGAACACCCCTGAAGTCACCAATTTGATATATATGAGAAAGTCAAAAGAAATAAAGAGAATTGTTTAGCTTTCACCTTGTAAATCTCATTTACGTAGCAAAATGAAAAAGGTGAGTAGAATATAAATGTAGCAAATAAATCCTAATACAAAATCTTCTTACACAGCCACCAAAAGATCTAAAATAAGGGAAGGGAAACAGAAGCACATGAATCCACAATAGTCACCTGTAGTGCTAAGCCATAACCGCCATTTGTCTCTTGTTCGAAGTAAAGAAGCTTTACCGATAACAAAACATGTTAGTAAATCTAATACTAGAAAGCAGAAGTGAGTAATGTATCAGAAAGAACAATTAAAGGAAACACAATAGAAAGAGCAAGTGATTGTTAAAAAAATGGTGAATAGAGAAAATTAATCCAGGAACTATCATACTTTAAATTTACTTTGTGCAGAAGATGAAACTCTGATTACTATCCCTGACTGTGCTTGCTGTTCATCAATAGTAACACCAAAAAACTGGGCAGATTGTTTGTCAACCTGTAAGAAGGTAGGTGGTCTAAGAGAAGGAAAAAGAAAGAGGCGTTCAATACAAATGAAAACAGACTGTTCAAAACACCTTTCCACTAAATGATGTCCCAAGAGGAAGTGGTCTAATTGTGACAGTTCCATTTAGAGCATCTTCAAGAACAGTAGCTGAGACTGATGTCTTTATAGGAACTCCTAGCTTACTATATTTTTTAAGAGTAAGATATAAGCTTCCAAATCCAAAAACTTGTAAATATTCAGAAAAAAAAACACCAAGAACTTGTAATGAGCAAAACAGAGAATATAGCACAGCAATGCCAATACCTTTATAAAACAAAAGCAGATCAAACAATTCCAAGTCCTGAAATAACATTAACATCTTAAGACTCACCTGAATAATGCTGCAAACATTGTATTGACAGTACCAAGATTTGATAGATCAATCTCCATATCCATAGCATCATGTTCTAAAGCCTATGAAAGTGGCTTTTAAAAATTCAGTTACATATAGAAACCAAGCTTTGTAGTGAAAACAAAAGTTGAATCATCAAATATTGACTAGCTTGGCATGGAGATATAACAGCAAGCATCAATTTGTGGTGTCTCAACTGGACAGATTTAGAAGTTTAAAGAACATGTAAAAATGTAGTACTCTGTATATACTAATCTAAAGGACTCCAATTATTTGTCCTTTGTGAAGGACAACAATTTCATACCTTTGAGAATATGGATGATAACTTATCATATTTTTACAAATAAGGAAAACTAATCTTGGAATAAATTCGAGGTTTCTTCAACCCTTGCTAAGCATAAATGGGTTTTTTAAGACTTTTATTTTTTACTTTGATATTAATGATGCAGTTTTTTTTATGAAACATTGGTATTAAGACAAAACTAACACCTAATTTGTATGCTATGGTTTTATAACAAACTCTAATAATAATATCATGGTCTTTTTTTTTAATAATAATATCATGGTCTTATGGCAAACTATAATACTAATATTAGGGTTTTAACAAACCCGCAGATACCAAAATTACATAACAAACTCTAGTAATAATACAAGAGTTTCAACAATCCATGCATATCTGCCAAGGTTTAATGTAGGGAAAGCAATAATGCTTCTCACGAGATCAATTTTAAAGGACCATTATCATAATAATTAATTAAACTTCATTTATATTTATTTTATTTTCGTTAAGTAATAGGGGGGCTTGATAAAGAGGGCACAATCAACTACTATAAAACCCAAATTTATAGAGAAGTCACAACAAAGATTCTATAACTAATGTTTATGATATCCACAAGCCCACTAGTGCAATGAATCCACACCACTCATAATTCAAAGTCAACTATGATCGAAAGCAAGTGCAAGACTCAATCATTCATCATAGATGATAAAAGATATAAAAGTCACTATCATTCCTCATAATAGCTCTATGTCATTAAATTTGATTCAATGCGGATTTGGAAATCAAAGGATCTTGATTCTCCATGCAAATAGCAAAGATTGGAGATGACAAAGGAAAGAGAAGATATGAGAGAAAGAATAAGAGAGAGGTTGGTTGTGGGAGAGAAAAAAAGCAGCAAGAAGGAAAAGAAGGAAACGAGAGACAGGAGATGGGTTGAAAGAGGGCATAGGGAAAAAAAGAGAGGGAATCATAAATGATGAGAGATCCAAGAAAAAGTGACACTAGAAATCGTTGATCGAGAAAGGGTGTGATGACCGGTTTAGGCTGGGCCGGTCCAAACCGGCCAGCCTTCTATTAATAGCCACGACCCAACAGAGGGTTGTTACGGGACTATTCGCGTGAAACAGAGAGAGGGCGGACGGCGACTGCGTGCAGGAGAGCGAGGTAAACTTCCTTTTTCTAATTTTAGCAAACGATTGTCGTCAAGGATAAGAAATAACGATTCCTTTTCATTCTTATAGTTAACGGATTTTTAATTTGGGAGAGATTTCAAGAACAAGAGAAAATACCGTGGAAAAAGAAGGAAAAATGTTTGTTGGATTTTCTTTCAGATTTTCTTATAAATTTTCTTCTTTTACTTCGTTTAAAGCGAACGATATATTTCTTGAAGAGTTGAAGGTAAAGGAAGAGATTTGAAGCAGAGAGAAAGATTTTGAGAGAGCGAGAAGAATATAGGGATTTTGAGAAAATTCCTATTTTGTAAGTAAATTCTTCATGTTATGGTTTTAATTAAATTTTGTTAATTAATCATATTTCTTTCATGAAAATTATATTGTGCAATTTTAGAAATTTTGGAGAGAGAGATCAAGATTATAGGAGTTGATCAATCAAGGATTCAACAAGAAAAGGGAATTTGGGATTCGAGGTTGCACCCTACGTCAAAGACTTGAGAGAATCAAAGTGGGAAAATTATGTTATTTTATGATTTTATTCATGTTTGCAATCTTCTAAGAAATTGATTAATTTTTGTATTATAAAATGAGGTATAAATATCTTATGATTTTATAGTCTTAAGAACAAATTCATCCGCTATAAAGGTTTGAAAGTTTATGAAAATGAAAGATAATATTTATAGAGATCCATGTAAGATATGCTATATGCAATGGTAACAATAAGGATGAAAATGAAAATTTAAAAGGGAAAATAGAAAAGAAAAGGGAAGCAAAAAAGTTATATATGCATGGAAATAATACATATGTAATATAACAAGGAAAAGGTACTGAAAACTTACAAGAGTTCACCCCCTTTTGGTACTGGCTGAGAACGTCGTACTCGTGCACGTAAAAAAAAGGAAAATGTAATGGAAATGGAAAAAGAAAAATGGAAAAGGTTGTACCTTTAGGTACATTGAGATGGTGCTCCTGTATGATTTAAATGGAAAAAGGAAATATCAAAATTGTTTAAAATGTTTTAAAGCAAAATGATTGGATATGTATAAATTATCGAAATGAATGAAATAAAGTTAAGAAATGATTTGATACATATTAAAGATTATAAGAGTATTGTAAATAAGAATATTCATATTAATTGTTCTAATAGTTACCCATTGAGTTTGCTTCGTAAACTCATTCCATTAACTAATATTTTCATGTAAGATTTCAAGTTCTTGGAATGGCTGATAGGGAAGAACATGTTTATAGAAGACGACGTGCAAATGGAAACAGGTAAAACGATTGATGAAAATGATTAGTTTTAATATTGATTGATTTATAGTTTTGTGATTAGTGGCTCTTCAGTTTATTCAAAAGTTTATGTTAATATGATTTTTTTTTAATTGGGATGAGATTGTAATACCGTCTGATTTTCAGTATCCGCCTCGTTAAATCGAGTATTCGGGCCGGGTCGTGACAAGGGCCTCCAATTGAGAGAAAAATGTAAAGAGAGAGGGATGAGGAAGCACCACTAAGAAAAGAAAATACAAGAAACTAAGAAATTTGAAGGAAATTTTTATTCAATATTTTTCAATAATTAGAGCTACAAACAAACCGAGTGTTCGATGAGTTGCTCGTGGCTCGGCTCAATAAGAGCGCGTTTATGTTCATTTGATAAGCTAAACGAACAAGCTTGAACACTTTTGAAAAATACTCGATCGCTAAATAAATGAGCTTGAACAACTTGTCGTTTGGTACGTTTATATTCATGAACAACATCGTTTAAAACTCATGAATATGCTCGTTAAGAAGCTCGTATTTGGCTTCATTTAAATCTCTATTAGAGCTCGATTATGCCTTATTTAATTAAGAATAAGATTATGCCTCATAAGGTGATTAAATCTCACCTTTGTGGGCTCCGAAAATTCGGCCTCGGCCTCCACTCGCTTTTCTTATTCGGCGAGGGAGTTTTAACAAACTAAGTTCCGGGGTAAATTTTGGAAGGCAGATGGGTTTGTAGATAAGACACTACCCAGAGATTTCGCCCTCATTTTGCGAGGACTTTATGATCTGAGTTCTGGTTTCCTATAGGCGCAAGCCCCTATAGTTAATTACCCCTCTCGATCACGAGAGAGAACTTTCGATTAAGGCTAGTCATCGATCAGATACGTATAGAAATACGTGTTTTCTGGCATATAGTAGCAGCAATAGGTTTAGAATTTGGAGAACTGGATTTGGATTTGGGATTTGAGTTGAAAGTTTGGAAATTTGAAAGGTTTGATATTTAAAAATGGAAATTTCACCATCTTGCACTTAAAGCGGATGGTGGGGGAATGAATGATGGGCCCGATCAAGATCCCATGGTTCCGTCGTCCCGGGCCATCGTGGTCCCTGGTCTACTTAGTCAGAGGAGGTAGTCGACCCAACCTGACAGAAGGATCCTTGTCAGCAGCCATGGGTTGCTTCGTCCAAGGGGACCTTGTAGACCGGGGTTGGATGTTTGCTTAAGGGGACAAATTTGAATCCACCTTAGCTTACAGAGGGCTTTGTGCCCTATCGATCATATCCTATTGATTCATATCTCAAGGATTTAACGCCATTAAGGAGCGTATTGGCTCTGGCCATAACCGCTATCTGTGGTGCCATTTGGCGGCAAAACCACTCGGTTCAGAGGGCCCCGGGTCATAACCGTTTACCTGCAGTGCCATTTGGCGGCGAAACTGCCGGTTAGAGGACACGTACCACGTCCTTACTGGCAAAAGATTGTTTGAGAATGGATCCTAGTAATATTTTTGACTAGGCATTTGGCTCTTTGTGAGCAAAAGTAAATTTTGATTTGTCCACCCAGCAAACTGTTGCGGAGGGTGGATGTATTTTGCTTTAAGATATTGATGATTTGATTTCAGTTTTAAATATCTTGCAATTTGGAGTTTGTAGAGTTTGGATTCTGATAGACATTTGAGTGGAATTTGAGATATTTGTGGAA